TATATATATATATATATATATATATATATATATATATATATATATATATACATACACATACATCTGTACTCCTTATATTATCTGTGTGAGCAGCTTGATACAATGTCTAACGTCTTGTCTAACTTTGCCTGTGTTTACAGCTATCTGCAGCACACCCTGCGCCAACAACGGCATCTGCCTGGCACCAGACACATGCCAGTGCCCAGAAAACTGGGATGGTCCCACCTGCGAGGTGCCAAAGGTGGTGCCACCCAGGGAATGCTCCAAAAAGCCCCCGACTCCAACAAATTCAAGAATATTATGCAGCAAGAAGTTAGTTCATATAATTCTTTTTAACTGGGAAGCATTAAATCTGCAGGGGTCATGCACAGCCAAGGAATGGGACGTAATCAGGTTTCATACAAGGAAAGGGAGAACAGCTCTAGTTCCTTAGATCAAGAGCTTTTCATTGGCTTCAAAGCACCTTTTCCCCTCCTTGAGGGAATCAATGAGTACCTGTCAAGTATATGGTGCTGGAATACCGACAAATTTTAGTTAATAAAGAATTTATTAAGTTTTCAGTTGGCGCTTGTATTCTTATCAATTAGAAGTACCTACCATCATGACCACCTAACTGATGTTTACCGCCTTTGATAATTTCACAGCTGTGACTTCTCTCCGAGACATGACCTCATTATCTTTGACTTCCTTTATAAAGCAAGAATGAGGCTTCGGTTGAACAACTGTTACATCAATACAGTTGTTCAGACTAATTTTGTTATTTTTAGGCCTGAGCCTGTTAGTTACAGCACTTTCTGGTTAGTTTATTTGTTGTAACAGTATTATATTGTAGATCTGTACTTTAATTTTTGTTTAATTTAATTATGACTATTTGTAATAGAAACATTAAAATTTTATATAATCGACACCATGCCCAGCCCTTCTAGGGTAGGGTAGGTGCCTGAGCCCGAGCCTTTAGCTCATAAGACTGTCATTCCCAATTGCCCCCTTGGGGCGGGGATGGCAGACCAGAGAAGCCTAGCTTGTAGCTAGGCCTGGGGATAGTTGGTCCCAAAGATGAGGTACTTGTGCCTCCTCCCATGGCAGACTTAGGTCTCAGACACTCCCTAAAGAGGGAGCCAAGGCCGGGCCATCACTTGGAAAAGGCCCGGGCCGGGAATACCGGCTAATCTTTAATAATAATAATAAATAATAAACATTTTATATAAACCAGTTATTTTGTCTCTATGTCTTGTGGTATTGATAGAGAGACTTTCAAATTCCTAAACGTTTGGAAAACAAATAGACTGAAATTAAAATTGCTCGAGGTTTCCGCTTGTCCTGTATTTCCCACTTCCCAATAGTTCATGATGCATTGAAACTTAATTAAAATCATAGATTCCATCACCGGTAAGCTGGGAGTGGCTGCTTGTCTTGGCTGCCAGTACAGTCAATGGTTACCTCACCTTCATGTGTTCACCAGGACACAGTCTTGTGGAGGCGCATCCTAGTACCGCCATCACTAAACTAGTTGTTATATGATAAACACCTGCGCCTGGTGATTTTTTTTTCGCGTGATGAGAAATAAAGCAAATAAATTGAGACCTCGTCCAATTTTCACGATCAGTCTTCGAGTTAGACGTAGTGTTTTCATCACTATTTTGTGAAACAAGTGTTTTCACTCCTAATTTGTGGGTTAGCTTTTTTTTATCATTTTGTATCTCGGATGAGTTTTATCATCAGTATGTGAACCAAATGAGTTTATTACTAATTTGTTGGATAGGTGAGGATTCTATTGCTAATTTATGGGCCAGATTAGGATTTTATTGCTAATTTATGAGCCAGATGAGGATTTTATTGCTAATTTTTGAGCCAGATGAGGATTTTATTGCTAATTTTTGAGCCAGATGAGGATTTTATTGCTAATTTATAAGCCAGATGAGAATTTTATTGCTAATATATGGACCAGAGTACCTATTATAACTTTATATTATGGCCAGAGGATTTGTGTACCAATTTATATACAAAATAATAAGTTTATTATGAATTTGTCAGCTGAGTAAAAAGTGTATTAATACTCGCAGTGAGTGTTCTGCTCGGTGTCACGAGGGATATCACTTCGCCAAGGGCACCTCCCGTCTCACTTTTGAGTGTGACGATGGTACCTGGGTGGTCCGCCAGTCCAGGTGGGCCGGAGCTGTTCCTGACTGTCAGCGTAAGTACAACCAGTTATATATCTTAAATACACGGACTTGAGTCCTGGAGGTGGGAAGTACAATGCCTACGCTTTAAAGGAGATTGGGATATTTGCTCTTTTGGGTCACCCCTGCCTCGGTGGGAGATGGCCAGCGTGTTCAAAATATATCACATTGGAGGGAGGGAGTATGGATGTGAATGTGTTTAGGTATTGTGGAGTAGACTTGTCAGCGCATGAGTTTATGAAGGACGAGGTAAACCATTGAATTAATTAAGGAAAAAGGGGGGGTGGTGCACCGAGGTATCTGTGGAGGACAAAGAATGTCATCCATGGAGGCAAAGAAGGAAATGTGTGAGAATATAGTTGTACCAACATTATTATAAAGGTATTAAGCATAGATTTTAAATGCTGCGGCAAGAAGGAGGCTGAAGACAGTGAAGATGTGTCTAAGGGCAGTGTGTGTAAATATCATGAAGAGAATTCGTAGTGTGGAAATTAGGAGGAGGTTATGAGGCCTGGTCACAGACCGGGCCGTGGGGGCGTTGACCCCCGGAACCCTCTCCAGGTGTGGAGCTACTAAAAGTTTTGTTCAGAGGGATATTGAGGTGGTTTGGTCATTTAGAGAGGATGGAGCAAAATAGAACGACTTGGACGGTGTATAAATTTGTAGTGGAGGGAGGGGGGTAAAAGAGGTTTTGTGTGTAAGGGGCTTGGACATGCAGCAGGAATGTGTGAATGTTAGGAGTGAATGGAGACAAAGGGTTTTTGGGACTTGACGAGCTGTTAGTGTGAACAGGGTAATATTTTGTGAGGGATTCAGGGAAACTGGTTAGCCTGGAGGTGAGAGGTACATTGCCTGCACTTTAAAGGAGGGGTGTAGGATATTGGCTGTTTGGAATGACATCTGAATGGTCGTATCTGGGCGCCTCTGCAAAGACAGTGATTATGTGTGAATGATGGTGAAAGTGTTTTTTGGGTCACCCTACCTCGGTGGTAGAACGGCCGACATGTTTTGTGTGTGTATATTATAATATTAATTAATATAATGTTATATATATATATAATATTATATATATATATATATATATATATATATATATATATATATATATATATAATATATATATATATATTTATATATAAATATATATATATAATATGTCGTGCCGAATATGTAAAACTGGTCAATTAGCAAGAACTCATTTAAAATTAAGTCCTTTCTAAAATTTTATCGTATACGTTTAAAGATATATATTTTTCATTAATATTAATGTAAAAAAAATTAATTTTGCTCCAAAAGAATCTTAGAAAACTTACCTAACCTTATTATAACAAGAACAATTTATTTTAGCCTAACCCAACTAAATATATTTTAGATTTCTTTACAATAATTTAATACTAAACAAACACAGTGAAATATATTTTTTTCGTTTGGTTCAGAATGATTTTGGCGAAATTATTGCATACACAAATTTTCACTTGTCCTATATGGCAAGATGAGCGTTGCTATTTAAGCCAAGATCGCAAGTTCTGCCTATTCGGCAATACATATATATATATATATATATATATATATATATATATATATATATATATATATATATATATATATATATATATATATAATATATATATATATATATATATATATATATATATATATATATATATATATATATATATGTCGTGCCGAATATGTAAAACTGGTCAAGTAGCAAGAACTCATTTAAAATTAAGTCCTTTCTGAAATTTTCTCTTATACGTTTATAGATATATTTTTTTCATTAATGTTAATGTAAAAAATTTTAATTTTGCACCAAAAGAATCTTAGAAAACTTACCTAACCTTATTATAACAAGAACAATTTATTTTAGCCTAACCCAACTAAGTATATTTTAAATACGTTTACAATAATTTAATACTAAACAAACACAATCAAATATATTTTTTTCGTTAGGTTCAGAATGATTTTGGCGAAATTATTGCATACACAAATTTTCACTTGTCCTATATGGCAAGATGAACGTTGCTATTTAAGCCAAGATTGCAAGTTCTGCCTATTCGGCACGACATATATATATATATATATATATATATATATATATATATATATATATATATATATATATATATATATATATATATATATATATATATATATATATATATATATATATATATATATATATATATATATATATATATATATATATATATTATATTATACATACATTGTGTCAGAATGAATTTAGCTAAATCAAAATTGCGTTAAAGTGAGGTTTCTATGTTACTTTTGGTCCAAACTTAAAAATCTTTGTCGTTGTCAATTAAAAAAAAATTATCATTTTGTAAAAGAATTTTTTTGGAACGGTTTAATTTTTAAGGCAGTTTTGCCAAAATTCGGCAAGTTCGGTTTAGTAGGCATGATTTGTCTCCTTGCAGCCGTGTGTGACCCCAGCTGTATGAATGAAGGTCGGTGTATCGCACCCAACGTGTGTGAATGTACTCCTGATTATCGTGGGGATATCTGCCAGTATCGTAAGTGTTTAGTTTTTTTTTCTACATTACTTGTATCGTAGGTACTTCAACTGTCCTGGTGATCAGCCCCTACTGCCTTACCTCTTCTTAGTAATGCCAGGTTTTATGACATTTCCTTTCTTCCACTGTTAATTTGTACCACTTTTCTCTCTTTTAGGTGTTATTCACATACATTGTACCATTTATTGTCTTTGTAAAAATATTCTCTCCACCACAACTTCCTTCATAGTCTCTTCCTCCTGTTACTGCATTTATTATCATTAGACTTTTCCTTCAAATATATATTCGTATTCTTGCCACATTTATTCACCTAAATATTCTCTATTCTGAAAGTTTACTTTAATACCTGTTTTAGCGATTAAAGTATATTTAATGTTGAAGATAATCATGTCCAACGTTTGGGCATCTTATTGCCGAAACGTTTCGCCTGCGCAACAGGCTTCTTCAGTCTTTTTTCAGTGAAATACAGGCGAATATAACTGGAGACAGCACCAGCAGTAATTTTGACGTGATAAGCCCTGCAGCCTTGGTAGTAAGTGATCAGTTCCTCAAGCCTAGGTAGGCTTGAGGAACCGACCACTTCCTTACCGAGGCTGAAGGACTGATTACGTCAAAACTACTACTACGAGTTATATTCGCCTGTATTCGACTGAATAAGCCTGTTATACAGGCGAAACGTTTCGGAAATAAGATACCCAAAAGTTGCATGTGCCTTGTTCTTAGCTTGTCTGTATTGTATTCAGTTATTAACATGTAATTCTTAATGTTATAATTCAACTCATATGCTGCCTTAATACCCCCACATGCAGTCGATAGACTTGAACCCTAACAAGGTAACCTATTTATTTATATTACCTTTTGCCTGCTCCGACTCTTTCTGGGACTTTTCATTTTTACTGTGGTTATAATTAACATATCGCACTCTTTAAATAACATTTCTAACAAGAGCGTAATTTTAAGCTATAATCTTATAATTTCGAAAGAATTCTAAGGCAATTATTATTATAATAAAAAAGAAGCGCTAAGCCACAAGGGCTATACAGCTATTCTAAGGCAAAAACCGTAACATGTCACTATCTTTCAGCAATTTCCAACTGTGACCCCAAGAACATTGGATTTAATGGAGGCTACAACTGCTCTGGCGAGGGTATGAAATTCGGGTGTGCTCTTTATTGCCCCGAGGATATAGAGTTTGAGTTCACCGCTGCAGAAATATACAACTGTGACTATGCCACTGGCACCTGGTCCCCCTCACCCATACCCATGTGTGATTATGGTAAGCCCACTGAGATTTTAAAGTCACTTAAATTGGATCACCTAAAGATTTGCCCCTAGAAGAATTTAGTTATGCAAATTATGTATATAGTAAATTCCACTAAATTTAAGCTAGCAGATTAATATAACTGCTAAAATTAACGTAATATAAAAAAATCTTGATTTACTTTACCTGTCGAAGAATATACATTATTTTTAATTATCTTTCTTCTTTCTTTCAACACACCGGCCGTATCCCACCGAGGCGGGGTGGCCCAAAAGGAAAAACGAAAGTTTCTCCTTTTACATTTAGTAATATATACAGGAGAAGAGGTTACTAGCCCCTTGCTCCCGGCATTTTAGTCGCCTCTTACAACACGCATGGCTTACGGAGGAAGAATTCTGTTCCACTTCCCCATGGAGATAAGAGGAAATAAACAAGAATAAGAACTAGAAAGAAAATAGAAGAAAACCCAGAGGGGTGTGTATATATGTGCTTGTACATGTATGTGTAGTGTGACCTAAGTGTAAGTAGAAGTAGCAAGACGTACCTGAAATCTTGCATGTTCATGAGACAGAAAAAAGGACACCAGCAATCCTACCATCATGTAAAACAATTACAGGCTTTCGTTTTACACTCACTTGGCAGGACGGTAGTACCTCCCTGGGCGGTTGCTGTCTACCAACCTACTACCTATAATTTTTAATTATGTTTTCCGTAATTGAATCTTCAGGTGATTCAGCTGTTCTATTTTTTTTATCTTCAGTCCTCTTTACTTACAAAACAAATCCATCGTCTCCAAGAAGTCTTCTTTTGCTCATGAAAGTGGTAGATAACAGGGAAGTGAGATTCACTTTGATCTTTGTTTGCAGGGTTTGAGATGGTGCCGATGCCATTAGAAGAAACTACCGGAACCTACCCACCCCACTTCAGCGAGCTTGACCATACCCGCACTACCACACAGAAGATCAAGAAGCTGCCAGGCTCCTGCCTAACCTGGTCAGGCACCCACTACAAGTCTTTCGACGGGAAAGTCTACAGGCGAGTTCTGCAGAGTTTTGTATGCATGCTGGAGTCTTAGTTGTCAGTATTTTTTGTCTAGTCAGTGGCTAATGACAGCCTATTGTAGCACAGTAACCCCCTTTGAAAATGTACGTATACAAAATAGTTAATTTTCTTGGGTTCAAATTCGAGTCTGCCAGAAGATTTAAATTAACTTATGCATGTAATATGTGTGGCTCTTTGAGAGTTCATGTCCCTCCACTCTGTTATTTTATGTATAGTTTCTTATAAATTTCCATACTGTATATAAATTAACTTACTAACAAAATTTAATATTATACATAAAACACAATAGTTTTATATGATCTTGCTTCTTAGTTTCAAGTTTTACTAAACCAGGGTGTTCAAATTTACTTATATATTGTGTCTTGGGTGGCAGCTTTGAGAGTTCGTGTCCCTACACACTGCTTCAGGACTCTACCCATGGCACCTTCACCGTCAACCTACGTACTGCTGACGGCTGTGAAGGTACTTCTTGTCCCAAGGTTATCCAGCTCTTCCTTGAAGACGACCAGTATGTTCTTCAAGCAACAGGTTGGTGCATACCTCCTTTTCTTTTTGTTCACATATTACCGAGTATGTTTAAGTCACAGGTTTGTGTAGACAGATGGAATTAGCTTAATCCAGTCGGTATAGACAGTGATTAACTAGACTAGCTTAATACATAATTAGTGTAGACAGAGGTAGAGTTAGCTAGACAGTAGCTTAATCTACGGTCATTGTAGAGAGGTAGAGTTAGTTTAATCCACAATCATAGTAGACAGAATTAGAGCTAACTAATCATTAGCTAAATCCACAGTCATTGTAGACAGGTAGAGTTAACTGGACAACAGCTTAATCTACAGTTCGACTACCTGACCTTCAAGTGACCTAAGATACAGTCCTGCCACGTCCCAGTTCTTGGGCCGGCACCACTGAACGGGTCATCTTCCGACAGTGAACCATGTACAGTTTTTTTTTTTTCTTCTGGCAAATATAAATCTAACAGCAATAATATAATTAGCCCTGCTGTACCTTATTATCTGGTGTCATCACAGTCGTTTGTGTCCACAGAGTCAGGTCAGCCGAGTCTGGCCTACCGGGACACAAACCTGGCCATCCCAGGTCAGATGAACGGTGTCGTGTCTGAACGCGTGGCTCACTTTGTTGTTCTCAAGGTGTCTGGCCTTGGTCTCACTATCAAGTGGGACATGAAGGTAAGCCTAGTGTTGCTTACTCTGTGTGTCTGTGTTGTGTTGTGTGTGTGTTGAACTGTGTTGTGCTCAAGGTGTCTGGCCTTTGTCTCACTATCATGTGGGACATGAATGTAAGCTATTAGCTTAGTGAAGCTCACCGTGCATGTAGTTCACTGGTGCATGGCAACAATATGTAGTATGTGGGATGACAGGAGGGGTCACCCGTGTACAGGGTCATTTGAATTAAATAAGGTTTGGTTGGGAGTTTTTAAAATAATATTTTAAAGAGAAATTTCCATGATTATCCGTTGTTTTCTTATGTATCAGGTTACTATAGCTTGGCTGAGCATTTTTTATATAGTTAATGAAAAGTTGTTTTGTCCATTACTAAGATATTTGGAGATGCATTATAACATATTTGTCCGAAGAGGGCCTCATTATGAGGTCGAAATATACTATAGTAATTTTCAGTCATGTTGTCACTAGAATGTTTAGCTATTGTGCTGACTCTGATGGGTCACTGAGAAATGGTGGTTTCCGCAGAGCCTAGTGGTGACGGAAATCAGTGAGCTGCTTTGGAACAGAACATCTGGGTTGTGTGGTCGACGTGATGGCTCTGACACCAACGACTGGAGCTATGCTGATGGCACCGAAGAAACAAACATGAACTCATTCCTTCAGGCCTGGCAGGCTAAAACACTAGGCGGTTAGTGTTTATATGAAGTATTAATTAATTTATTAAATTTACTTTTTAATTCATTGCTAATTACAACAAGAAGACTAAAGGCGTGATATTAGGGGGGAGCATGAGAGAACATTTGATGAATCCATCTGCCAGAGTTTAAGATCATTGTGCGATGGTATGCAGAAAATTAATTGTATTTTCATATATTTTACCATATTACATTTTTTTTTAATTAGGAAAGGACTTTGTTTTGTTTATGTGTTATATGTCATCGTAATAATATCTGTGACACTGCAGATCGGTGTTTGGACAGACCCAAAACTAAGCACCCTTGTGGCCGCAAGTCTGTAGCTTCAGAGGCTGAAAGGTTCTGTTCCCGTTTGCAGGATGACACAAGATTTTCACAGTGTCGTCAGGTGAGCTCTCTTAACCTTACTACCTGATATATGCTTGTGCTACGTGAACTTTATTATTGTATTTAGGGGAAGAACTAAACCTGTAGGAGTCAAACATTGCCTGGGGGAATGGGAAACAATTAGGTTCGATTCTAGGAAAAGTAGGTCATGTTCAATTCTTTATTGTATCAAGAAACCCGCACCGACATCAAGGAACATCTCTTAAGGAGTTACTAGCTTACAGCTTTCCTAAGTAGCGAGAAGAGATGAATTACAACAGTTTGGTAACCTGCAGCATCGCACAGTGCCTCCAACCTCAAACAACAAGCATACGCTTGTCCTATAACCAGCACTAGCTTATTAGTTTTAGGACTAACGTGGTAGTTTTATTAGTCTGCTAGTTTTAGGACTAACCTGCTAGTTTTAGGACTAGCTTGCCATGGGTTCAAACGCCAATCCGTTCAATGCTGTAATAGCCAAGTGATATTAGTAGTTAAATAGCACTAACTTGCTTATTTACAGCGAGTCATGATCACCATTGATAAAACTATTTTAATGTTTATCTTATCCTTCATAAACGACGCCATCAGTCTCTTGACAAAGGTCATTAGCTTGACAGTAATGAAGATTTTTATTATTACATTCATGAGTTAGCGCTAAACCCATAGGGGTCACATAGCACGTGGGAAATGAGACGCTCAATTTTGTTCTACAGAAAGGGATGCCAGGTCCAATTCCTTGGATCAACAGCCCCTAATCAGCATCAAGGAGCCTCCCTCGAGGATATTAAATACAAAAAGTCGTTTGTCCATTTTTGCAGCTCAGTGAATACATTAAGTGTTTTTCGTAATTAGTTGTCAGAGGATCGAGCCTCCACCACTCCTACAGCTGAATTACCCATACTGGTTTAAACTCTTCAAATAAAGTATTACGAGGTATATTAAAAAAATCCTGTTTAAGCCTTTACATCCGGCATGTACGTAGTTGTGATTGTCTCATATGTGTTATTTTTATAAGATCCTCTCCATAATAACAAGAAAATATGATAGTAAAACTGTTAATTATGTCTCTTTATGATAGTAAAACTGTTAATTATGTCTCTCGAGACGAGTATCACTGCGCCACATCATATGGCCTCTTCACCTCGATTATCCATGTTAACATTTTTTACTCTTATAAATTCTTGCTCTTTTACACTGTAGTGGCATTTATGCTTGCAGGTGGTGGACGTGGAGCCGTACATTAATGCTTGCCGTTGGGATTACTGTGCCTGTGAGTCCCAGGAGAGAGAGACTTGTGCCTGTGAGACCATGGCAGCATTCAACAGGGAGTGTGTCAGCCTTGGTGAAGACATCGTAGACGGCTGGCGATCACAGGATCTCTGCCGTAAGTTAACATTTTACAAACTATATCGTCTTAGCCAAAGTTTCCAAATATTACCACATATTTCTTGCAAAAGTTTTCAAGTGCTACTTGAAAATCAACGAACTCTCAGATTTCAGTCTTGAATATTGTTCTCGAATTTAGTGAATCATTCCTTCCAACAAATTTTTCAAATTCATCTTCAGAATTTCTGTAGCTTCACTTCTAATCACTATCTTTCCGCCGTTAAGGTTCATCTCGTTACCTCATGCCAATACCTGTATGGCTCATACTGATTAATAATATTGTTATTCATGGGGAGTGCTAAACCCATCGGGGTCATTAGCCACTGTCCAAGGAAGAAGGTAGCTTCAGTTAGGATGCTATTCTCAGATTTGGAATCATGTATACCTCATCCTCGCATATAGCAATTATTTTATTATTACAGTCGAGGGAAGCGGTAAATGCCTAGGGGTTATTCAGCCCCCAGGGAATGGGAGACAGGTTCAATCTAATGGAAAGAATCATAAGTCCAAGTCCTTGGATTAAAGTGTCTCCTTAAAGGAGACAAGTACATAGTACTTGCAAATTATATTTTTTATTAATTATTTAGTATAGAGCTATACTGTTTTATTTTACTATTTATAGACATTATGTGGATAATACTGCCGTGATGTATTTTTTTTTTTCAACAAGTCGGCCGTCTCCCACCGAGGCAGGGTGACCCAAAAAAAAAGAAAGAAAATCCCCAAAAAGAAAATACTTTCATCATCATTCAACACTTTCACCACACTCACACATTATCACTGCTTTTGCAGAGGTGCTCAGAATACAACAGTTTAGAAGCATATATGTATAGAGATACACAACATATCCCTCCAAACTGCCAATATCCCAAACCCCTCCTTTCAAGTGCAGGCATTGTACTTCCCATTTCCAGGACTCAAGTCCGACTATATGAAAATAACCGGTTTCCCTGAATCCCTTCACTAAATATTACCCTGCTCACACTCCAACAGATCGTCAGGTCCCAAGTATCATTCGTCTCCATTCACTCCTATCTAACACGCTCACGCCGTGATGTATATTTCATGAATACTATGGAATATCAGTTCTTTCAAGAGGGTGTAACATCTTACCGAATAACAGAGTTTGTATTGCACAAATGGACAAATTAACTGCTGTATTGCTAATACATTCACTGAGGGAGCGCTAAACCCGTAGGGAGTCATACAGCATCTGGGGAATGGTAGGCATTCAGACTCGATTTAAGGAATTGGAGCACAAGTTCGATTTCATACATCAGGAGTCCACCTTACCATTAGCTTATTCTAAAACAAATGTTCTTGTGCTAATACTTTGTTTTAAATTAAAGTCTAATGTTAATATTATGGTAGGATTGCTGGTTTCTTTTTCTTTTTCTGTCTCATAAACACGCTAAGATAACAGGGATATCTTGCTACTCCTACTTACACTTTGGTCACACTTCACAGACACGCACATGCATATATATATATACATACATCTAGGTTTTTCTCCTTTTTCTAAATAGCTCTTGTTCTTTTTTTATTTCTTCTATTGTCCATGGGGAAGTGGAAAAGAATCTTTCCTCCGTAAGCCATGCGTGTCGTATGAGGCGACTAAAATGCCGGGAGCAATGGGCTAGTAACCCCTTCTCCTGTATACAATTACTAAAAAAGAGAAGAAGAAAAACTTTATAAAACTGGGTTGCTTAAATGTGCGTGGATGTAGTGCGGATGACAAGAAACAGATGATTGCTGATGTTATGAATGAAAAGAAGTTGGATGTCCTGGCCCTAAGCGAAACAAAGCTGAAGGGGGTAGGAGAGTTTCAGTGGGGGGAAATAAATGGGATTAAATCTGGAGTATCTGAGAGAGTTAGAGCAAAGGAAGGGGTAGCAGTAATGTTAAATGATCAGTTATGGAAGGAGAAAAGAGAATATGAATGTGTAAATTCAAGAATTATGTGGATTAAAGTAAAGGTTGGATGCGAGAAGTGGGTCATAATAAGCGTGTATGCACCTGGAGAAGAGAGGAATGCAGAGGAGAGAGAGAGATTTTGGGAGATGTTAAGTGAATGTATAGGAGCCTTTGAACCAAGTGAGAGAGTAATTGTGGTAGGGGACTTGAATGCTAAAGTAGGAGAAACTTTTAGAGAGGGTGTGGTAGGTAAGTTTGGGGTGCCAGGTGTAAATGATAATGGGAGCCCTTTGATTGAACTTTGTATAGAAAGGGGTTTAGTTATAGGTAATACATATTTAAGAAAAAGAGGATAAATAAGTATACACGATATGATGTAGGGCGAAATGACAGTAGTTTGTTGGATTATGTATTGGTAGATAAAAGACTGTTGAGTAGACTTCAGGATGTACATGTTTATAGAGGGGCCACAGATATATCAGATCACTTTCTAGTTGTAGCTACACTGAGAGTAAAAGGTAGATGGGATACAAGGAGAATAGAAGCATCAGGGAAGAGAGAGGTGAAGGTTTATAAACTAAAAGAGGAGGCAGTTAGGGTAAGATAATAAACAGCTATTGGAGGATAGATGGGCTAATGAGAGCATAGGCAATGGGGTCGAAGAGGTATGGGGTAGGTTTTAAAAATGTAGTGTTAGAGTGTTCAGCAGAAGTTTGTGGTTACAGGAAAGTGGGTGCAGGAGGGAAGAGGAGCGATTGGTGGAATGATGATGTAAAGAGAGTAGTAAGGGAGAAAAAGTTAGCATATGAGAAGTTTTTACAAAGTAGAAGTGATGCAAGGAGGGAAGAGTATATGGAGAAAAAGAGAGAGGTTAAGAGAGTGGTGAAGCAATGTAAAAAGAGAGCAATGAGAGAGTGGGTGAGATGTTATCAACAAATTTTGTTGAAAATAAGAAAAAGTTTTGGAGTGAGATTAACAAGTTAAGAAAGCCTAGAGAACAAATTGATTTGTCAGTTAAAAATAGGAGAGGAGAGTTATTAAATGGAGAGTTAGAGGTATTGGGAAGATGGAAGGAATATTTTGAGGAATTGTTAAATGTTGATGAAGATAGGGAAGCTGTGATTTCGTGTATAGGGCAAGGAGGAATAACATCTTGTAGGAGTGAGGAAGAGCCAGTTGTGAGTGTGGGGGAAGTTCGTGAGGCAGTAGGTAAAATGAAAGGGGGTAAGGCAGCCGGGATTGATGGGATAAAGATAGAAATGTTAAAAGCAGGTGGGGATATAGTTTTGGAGTGGTTGGTGCAATTATTTAATAAATGTATGGAAGAGGGTAAGGTACCTAGGGATTGGCAGAGAGCATGCATAGTTCCTTTGTATAAAGGCAAAGGGGATAAAAGAGAGTGCAAAAATTATAGGGGATAAGTCTGTTGAGTGTACCTGGTAAAGTGTATGGTAGAGTTATAATTGAAAGAATTAAGAGTAAGACGGAGAATAGGATAGCAGATGAGCAAGGAGGCTTTAGGAAAGGTAGGGGGTGTGTGGACCAGGTGTTTACAGTGAAACATATAAGTGAACAGTATTTAGATAAGGCTAAAGAGGTCTTTGTGGCATTTATGGATTTGGAAAAGGCGTATGACAGGGTGGATAGGGGGGCAATGTGGCAGATGTTGCAAGTGTATGGTGTAGGAGGTAGGTTACTGAAAGCAGTGAAGAGTTTTTACGAGGATAGTGAGGCTCAAGTTAGAGTATGTAGGAAAGAGGGAAATTTTTTCCCAGTAAAAGTAGGCCTTAGACAAGGATGTGTGATGTCACCGTGGTTGTTTAATATATTTATAGATGGGGTTGTAAGAGAAGTAAATGCGAGGGTCTTGGCAAGAGGCGTGGAGTTAAAAGATAAAGAATCACACACAAAGTGGGAGTTGTCACAGCTGCTCTTTGCTGATGACACTGTGCTCTTGGGAGATTCTGAAGAGAAGTTGCAGAGATTGGTGGATGAATTTGGTAGGGTGTGCAAAAGAAGAAAATTAAAGGTGAATACAGGAAAGAGTAAGGTTATGAGGATAACAAAAAGATTAGGTGATGAAAGATTGAATATCAGATTGGAGGGAGAGAGTATGGAGGAGGTGAACGTATTCAGATATTTGGGAGTGGACGTGTCAGCGGATGGGTCTATGAAAGATGAGGTGAATCATAGAATTGATGAGGGAAAAAGAGTGAGTGGTGCACTTAGGAGTCTGTGGAGACAAAGAACTTTGTCCTTGGAGGCAAAGAGGGGAATGTATGAGAGTATAGTTTTACCAACGCTCTTATATGGGTGTGAAGCGTGGGTGATGAATGTTGCAGCGAGGAGAAGGCTGGAGGCAGTGGAGATGTCATGTCTGAGGGCAATGTGTGGTGTGAATATAATGCAGAGAATTCGTAGTTTGGAAGTTAGGAGGAGGTGCGGGATTACCAAAACTGTTGTCCAGAGGGCTGAGGAAGGGTTGTTGAGGTGGTTCGGACATGTAGAGAGAATGGAGCGAAACAGAATGACTTCAAGAGTGTATCAGTCTGTAGTGGAAGGAAGGCGGGGTAGGGGTCGGCCTAGGAAGGGTTGGAGGGAGGGGGTAAAGGAGGTTTTGTGTGCGAGGGGCTTGGACTTCCAGCAGGCATGCGTGAGCGTGTTTGATAGGAGTGAATGGAGACAAATGGTTTTTAATACTTGACGTGCTGTTGGAGTGTGAGCAAAGTAACATTTATGAAGGGATTCAGGGAAACCGGCAGGCCGGACTTGAGTTCTGGAGATGGGAAGTACAGTGCCTGCACTCTGAAGGAGGGGTGTTAATGTTGCAGTTTTAAAAACTGTAGTGTAAAGCACCCTTCTGGCAAGACAGTGATGGAGTGAATGATGGTGAAAGTTTTTCTTTTTCGGGCCACCCTGCCTTGGTGGGAATCGGCCGGTGTGATAATAAATAAAAAAAAAAATAATGTTTAGATATCATAGTAACTACTGAGGGTGTCAACAGCAATGGAGTGTAAGTTGGGGACGGTATACAACCCATGCATGTCAGCTATACAGCCTCGCTGCGGCCAGGTAGCAGACAGCGTGAATCCAGATTTCTGCGTCGAGGGATGTGACTGTCCTGATAGTCTAGTGTTACACAAAGGTGTCTGCATCTCAGCCCAGGACTGTCCCTGCACCTACCACAGCAAGGACTACAACGCTGGAGACACCATACCTAACGACTGCAATTCTTGGTGAGTTCATCATGACACTACAGATTCTTACCGCCTGTTTAGAAAACATTAGATGCTTGCAGTGTTGAATGACAGTTTCGAGGACCTCTTTCTATTGTGAAAGCCTTTTGATATAACCTACTTTCTTGACCTCGTCTAGCTACACAGAATTAGAGGTAGGTAGCTAGGTTGCTTTTAGTCCTCCACAGTAGATAACTTAAATACACATCATAAAATCTGCTATCTGCGTTAATTAATTAGCCATGTGTATTTTTTTTTTTTCAACAAGTCGGTCGTCTCCCACCGAGGCAGGGTGTGTATATTCACACTAATTTTTTTTGCCTTATATACATAAGGGTAATTCATGTCATTATTCTCATGAATAATTGCTTTGAAATTAAATAAAAAAGTTATTACAACACCAGCTTACTGAACTTGTGGTAGAATTTTGATTAATTTTTACATATTGATCAACCCTACATAGTCAGTTGATACCAAGACAGTTGCCCTTCTCGTCTCATGTTGCGAGTGCAATAGGCAGAAAGAAAGCAGTGAGAGAGTGATTCTACTTAAAACACATCCCGTCAACAGCTTAAGTCTGGGGTAGTATGTTTGGAAGGGGTGTGTTGATCTTGTTATAACACACCTCATCCACAGCACATGTTTGGGTGGGTGTGAACAGTGGACAGAGACACAGTATAGCTCTTGTTTTATCACATCATGTCCACAGCACATGTCTAGTGGGAGAGAGGGTGTGCGTGGAGGAAGAGTGTAGCTCTTCACTAATACTATCTCGTCCACAGCACATGTCTGGGTGGAGAGTGGGTGTGTACCGAGGCAAAGTGTGGCTCTCGCTGTTCTGCCGTGGGTGACCCTCATTATACCACCTTCGACGGCCGCCACTTTGACTTCATGGGCAAGTGTTCCTACTACCTGGTACAGGGGCAGGATTTCAGCATTGAGGCCGAGAACACACCGTGTGCTGGTGCCATCTCTGAGGTAAGTAACAGACCATCTTTCACGATATATCATATATAGCCTTGATACAAATTCCATATTTATTACTTCTTTTATGGGGAGTTCTATTTTAAAAGTAGCAACTTGAAAAGTAAGATACGTCAGTAACCACGTAATATGTTGTCAATTACAATACTATACATGAACATTAAGAGAACGAAAGGAAAGATATTGTATCCCTGAGATGTTACATACCTGCTTGTCATGACAACATCAGCTGACCAAAAATAGGTTTAAGAAAAGAATAATAAAGTATATATTAGCAAATTCCCTTCAATTAAACAAATTACATAACCGGTAAAATTTCAATATTGATATTTCAGTATTAACATACAATGTATTAAAACAAGTGCTTTAATACGTGTAGTACAACTTTATATATTCACATAATATATTATCACTTCTCTTTATCTTTGTCTGCACTGTACATATATGTTAATAAAGGACTTTAGTGTAATATGTAGACATTACCTACATTATTTCGTTTTACTTATAAAAGCCTATTAATCTCACATATGAGATTGGTCATAAACGAGTCTTCTTATAATGTTTATGACTTTCGAATCGTGTCACATGATTTTTAACTAAGAAAAAAAACCTACGTAGCAACAAAAGTACTTAAAATACATAAGTGTATTTGTAGTTTACAGTTTGTTGTATTCAGACCATCGTTTGTGTATGGAACTCTAAGCAGCACTAAAAGTTACTCATGATACAAAAATATATACATTTCATATATTTTGTACATGTCTTCTTGGCATACTGCATTTTTTAGGATAATCGCCCAGCATACCACGATTGCCCCATGCTTCGGTTGGCAATACACTCGCCTCACACACTCAGTGTCCGTGGTTCAATCCCTGGCATGGGTGGAAACGTTGGGTATGTTTCTTTACACCTGCTGTCCCTGTTGACCTAGAAGTAGGTGCCTGAGTGTTAGTCGACTGGTGTGGATCGCATCCTGGGGAACAAGACATTGTACTCGATGACTTTCGTGGGTTATCCTGGGTGGCTAACATTCCAGGTTAAAAATCTGAACAAATTTGATCATATCTTACTGTGGTTATAAGCAGTTCGTATACATCTGTAACATGAAGGACGTATTCATCAAACACTTACTCTGTGAAGCGTTCTCGCCTCTTCATGGATATCACATTCTGGTGGTCATGAGTACAATTTTAAACGAAGGAAAACTTCAGTACTAATAGTTCTTCCATATAAATTTTAAAACTAAGCTCTAGTCGCACCTGAATTCTCACCATTATTTTTTATATAAAATTAAAAAATAATCTTGTTAATTTAGTAATTATTGAAGTATAACATTATTATTACTGTTGTAAATATTACATATAATGTTAAATGTTGTATTAGAGACAAGTCAGAGGAGGACACTGAGGATCCGCTTAAGAGTGAGTGTTGGTCGCTGGGTGTGTTCGCTCGCCAGGCTCATGATGGACTTGCTACGAGTCTTGAGTCTGCTCCTTAGTGTTCCTTCCCCACCTTCACTCTTGTCTCTACCACTTCTGCTGTCACTGAGGTGCATAGTGGAAGAGGAAGATGAATATCTTAGAGTGGAAGAGGCGATTGAGGCCCTGGAACCAACACCTTTGCGGTAGACCAGCCACTGTGTGACCAGGGCGCCACTTCCACTCTCCACCCATGACGATCTGTCCAAATATTACTCCTATTAACTTTTTGCTCTCCATCGAATTAACATTAATATGTCAGTTGTCGTTAAATCTGACTCTGAAATGTTGTTATCCTGCCTCTGTTATAAATATATAGTGAAGGAAGAGAGGGAGGGACGTAAATATTTAGGTATATAACAATTCACAATACATGAACACTTGGAACATTGTACTGTGATGCAGAAAATTCGTAGTTTGGTGATTAGAAAGCGGTACGGAGTTACTAAAAGTATTATCCAGAGGGCTGGGGGGAGAAGTTACTGAGGTGGTTTGGTCATTTAGAGAGGCTGGAGCAAAATAGAATGACTTGGAGGGTGTATAAATCTGTAGTGGAGGGAAGGCGGAGTAGGGGATCTTCCTAGGAAAGGATGGATGGAGGGGGTAAAGAAGGTTTTGTGTGCAAGGGGGTTGGACATACAGCAAGCATGTTGGATAGGAGTGGAGACAAATAGCAACATCTCTCACTCAGTAGCTCTTCTCTGCAATTGTAATTTTTGTTCAATAAATGTATGAAAGAGGGAAATGTACCTAGGGACTGGCAGAGAGCAGTATAATTCCTTTATATAAATGGAAGGAGGGCAAAAGAGATTGTAAAAATTACAGGGGAATAAGTTTACTGAGTATACCAGGTAAAGTGTATGGTAGTGTTATTACTGAAAGAATTAGAGGTAAGACACGGAGCAGGATTGCAGATGAACAAGGAGGCTTTAGAATGGGTAGGGAATGTGTAGATCGGGTGTTTACATTAAAGCATATAAGTGAACAGTATTTACATAAAGGTAGGAAAGTTTTCATTGCATTTATGGATTTAGAAAAGACATTTAATAGAGTGGATAGGGGGGCAATGTGGCAGATGTTGCAAGTGTATGGAATAGGTAGTAAGTTACTAAATGCTGTAAAGTTTTTATGGGGATAATGAGGCTCAGGTTAGGGTGTGTAGGAGAGAGGGAGACTACTTCCCGGTAAAAGTAGGTCTTAGACAGGGATGTATGATGTCACCATTGTTGTTTAACATATCTATAAATGGGGTTGAAAAAGAAGTAAATGCTAGGGTGTTGGGGAGAGGGGTGGGATTAAATTATGGGGAATCAAATATAAAATGTACAGTATATATATATATATATATATATATATATATATATATATATATATATATATATATATATATATATTAGGGAGGTACCACCTCTATGAATGGACTGGGGACCCTCATCCTCAGCGAAGACAATAAACGTACCTCAGGGAAAACCCAAGTATGTAATTTTGGCCACAAAGAAAGAGAAGGTTTCCGTGCACTTTCGTGATGTATCAGACTCGTAACTGCTGCTCTTGAGGATGTACAGCGTCATATCACCTTCCTAAGTGATATCAATTTAATTTTTTTCTCTTTCATGGTAGTCAAACTGAATATATAATTTTTAACACTGCAATTTCCCATTAGTGTTGGGTATCCGAAGAAAAACTTTCATCACTCAACCCTAAGAGTTCTAGAAATGCATGAACATCACGACAGAATACTGCACTCCTTCAAACTACTTCCCATCCGGCTAACTGGTTTCTGTGACTTTTTACAGATAGCGTGCTTACATTCCCTAACTTTAGGAAGTTGTGCCTAGCCAAAAACTATGAACCTACAATATTTAGTCTTCCACTCATGAAATTATAAATTCACAACCATTTGAGAGTACAAAGTATTTATCATAATTTGTACTGAAAGATCAAGTTAATGATCAATAAATTAGAGATTTTGCCGCCGAAGCGGCTAGTTCATTATACAACTTATATCCATCCTGTGGATAGTAGCGAAAGAGCAATGGATCCACAAAAGGCCTAGGAACAAGGCCCTAAGAGGGTTTACGGAAGTACATCTGGATTTATATCTACAGTTCACTTACCTGTTGCAAACAAATTTAGGAAATTTGCTTACGTTTGATAGCAACTAACCTGAGAGTGGGAAGATATCCAGTGAGGGCTAATGTGTTGAGGAGCTCTGGAACAGTGGTGTTAGGGGTGACGTGGGAGTCGAGCTGGGGGTAGGTTGCATCAGTGTTGTGTACTACCTCCTCTGGGAACACACTTCTCAGTACCCAGGCTGGCCCTTGCACCCTTACCTCCGTGGACCGCTGCACCGTGTATGTCACCACCACCAACGTTGTTCCCTGCGGCAGAAGGAAATGTCTCTTATTTATATATATATATATATATATATATATATATATATATATATATATATATATATATATATATATATATATATATATATATATATATATGTATATATAAGAAAGAGATGATTGTGGATGTTATGAATGAGAAGAAACTGGATGTCCTGGCTTGAAGTGAAACAAAGCTGAAGGGGGTGGGAGAGTTTCAATGGAGAGGAATAAATGGGATTACCTGGAGTTTACCTGGAGAGAGTTTAGGTCAGGGGTTTCAAATAGAGTTAGAGCTAAAGAAGGAGTAGCAATAATGTTGAAGGATAAGCTATGGCAGGAAAAGAGGGACTACAAATGTATAAATTCAAGGATCATGTGGAGTAAAATAAAGATTGGATGTGAAAAGTGGGTTATAGTAAGCGTGTATGCACCTGGAGAAGAGAGAAGTGTAGAGGAGAGAGAGAGATTCTGGGAAATGTTGAGTGAATGCGTGGGGAGTTTTGAATCAAGTGTGAGAGTAATGGTGGTTGGGGATTTCAATGCTAAAGTGGGTAAAAATGTTATAGAGGGAGTAGTAGGTAAATTTGGGATGCCAGGGGTAAATGTAAATGGGGAGCCTTTAATTGAGCTATGTGTAGAAAGAAATTTGGTAATAAGTAATACATATTTTATGAAAAAGAGGATAAATAAATATACAAGGAATGATGTAGCACGTAATGAAAGTAGTTAGATTATATATTGGTGGATAAAAGGTTGATGGGTAGGCTCCAGGATGTACATGTTTATAGAGGGGCAACTGATATATCGGATCATTATTTAGTTGTAGCTACAGTTAGAGTAAGAGGTAGATGGGAAAAGAGGAAGGTGGCAAAAACAAGTAAGAGGGAGGTGAAAGTGTATAAACTAAGGGAGGAGGAAGTTCGGGCGAGATATAAGCGACTATTGGCAGAAAGGTGGGCTAGTGCAAAGATGAGTAGTGGGGGGGTTGAAGAGGGATGGAATAGTTTTAAAAATGCAGTATTAGAATGTGGGGCAGAAGTTTGTGGTTATAGGAGGGTGGGGGCAGGAGGAAAGAGGAGTGATTGGTGGAATGATGAAGTAAAGGGTGTGATAAAAGAGAAAAAGGTAGCTTATGAGAGGTTTTTACAAAGAAGTGTTATAAGAAGAGCCGAGTATATGGAGAGTAAAAGAAAGGTGAAGAGAGTGGTGAGAGAGAGTGCAAAAGGAGAGCAGATGAAAGAGTGGGAGAGGCACAGTCAAGAAATTTTAATGAAAATAAGAAAAAATTTTGGAGTGAGTTAAACAAGTTAAGAAAGCCTAGGGAAAGTATGGATTTGTCAGTTAAAAACAGAGTAGGGGAGTTAGTAGATGGGGAGAGGGAGGTATTAGGTAGACGGCGAGAATATTTTGAGGAACTTTTAAATGTTGAGGAAGAAAGGGAGGCGGTAATTTCATGCACTGGCCAGGGAGGTATACCATCTTTTAGGAGTGAAGAAGAGCAGAATGTAAGTGTGGTGGAGGTACGTGAGGCATTACGTAGAATGAAAGGGGGTAAAGCAGCTGGAACTGATGGGATCATGACAGAAATGTTAAAAGCAGGGGGGGATATAGTGTTGGAGTGGTTGGTACTTTTGTTTAATAAATGTATGAAAGAGGGGAAGGTACCTAGGGATTGGCGGAGAGCATGTATAGTCCCTTTATATAAAGGGAAAGGGGACAAAAGAGATTGTAAAAATTATAGAGGAATAAGTTTACTGAGTATACCAGGAAAAGTATACGGTAGGGTTATAATTGAAAGACTTAGAGGTAAGACAGAATGTAGGATTGCGGATGAGCAGGGAGGCTTCAGAGTGGGTAGGGGATGTGTAGATCAAGTGTTTACATTGAAGCATAAATGTGAACAGTATTTAGATAAAGGTAGGGAAGTTTTTATTGCATTTATGGATTTAGAAAAGGCATATGATAGAGTGGATAGAGGAGCAATGTGGCAGATGTTGCAAGTATATGGAATAGGTGGTAAGTTACTAAATGCTGTAAAGAGCTTTTATGAGGATAGTGAGGCTCAGGTTAGGGTGTGTAGAAGAGTTGGAGAATACTTCCCGGTAAAAGTAGGTCTTAGACAGGGATGTGTAATGTCACCATGGTTGTTTAATATATTTATAGATGGGGTTGTAAAAGAAGTAAATGCTAGGGTGTTTGGGAGAGGGGTGGGATTAAATTATGGGGAATCAAATTCAAAATGGGAATTGACACAGTTACTTTTTGCTGATGATACTGTGCTTACGGGAGATTCTAAAGAAAAATTGCAAAGGTTAGTAGATGAGTTTGAATGTGTGTAAAGGTAGAAAGTTGAACGTGAACATAGAAAAGAGTAAGGTGATGAGGGTATCAAATGATTTAGATAAAGAAAAATTGGATATCAAATTGGGGAGGAGGAGTATGGAAGAAGTGAATGTTTTCAGATACTTGGGAGTTGACGTGTCGGCGGATGGATTTATGAAGGATGAGGTTAATCATAGAATTGATGAGGGAAAAAAGGTGAGTGGTGCGTTGAGGTATATGTGGAGTCAAAAAACGTTATCTATGGAGGCAAAGAAGGGAATGTATGAAAGTATAGTAGTACCAACACTCTTATATGGATGTGAAGCTTGGGTGGTAAATGCAGCAGCGAGGAGACGGTTGGAGGCAGTGGAGATGTCCTGTCTAAAGGTGTGGTGTAAATATTATGCAGAAAATTCGGAGTGTGGAAATTAGGAGAAGGTGTGGAGTTAATAAAAACATTAGTCAGAGGGCAGAAGAGGGGTTGTTGAGGTGGTTTGGTCATTTAGAGAGAATGGATCAAAGTAGAATGACATGGAAAGCATATAAATCTATAGGGGAAGGAAGGAGGGGTAGGGGTCGTCCTCGAAAGGGTTGGAAAGAGGGGGTAAAGGAGGTTTTGTGGGCAAGGGGTTTGGACTTCCAGCAAGCGTGCATGAGCGTGTTAGATAGGAGTGAATGGAGGCGAATGATATTTGGGACCTGACGATCTGTTGGAGTGTGAGCAGGGTGATATTTAGTGAAGGGATTCAGGGAAACCGGTTATTTTCATATAGTCGGACTTGAGTCCTGGAAATGGGAAGTACAATGCCTGCACTTTAAAGGAGGGGTTTGAGATATTGGCAGTTTGGAGGGATATGTTGTGTATCTTTATACGTATATGCTTCTAAACTGTTGTATTCTGAGCACCTCTGCAAAAGCAGTGATAATGTGTGAGTGTGGTGAAAGTGTTGAATGATGATGAAAGTATTTTCTTTTTGGGGATTTTCTTTCTTTTTTGGGTCACCCTGCCTCGGTGGGAGACGGCCGACTTTGTTGAAATATATATATTATATATATATATATATATATATATATATATATATATATTATATATATATATATATATATATATATATAATACGTTATTTTCAAGCAAAGCTTCTGCGTCTCTTTTAAATGACAGTTTTGTGTATAGTTATTTTAGTAAGTGTAGAAGGCGACTTGTAGAAGCCACGATTGCAGTAGAACTCTCAGTACTCCTAGCAAGAGTCTCTAAGACCGACATCACCGTAACCGCATTTCAGCTAGAAATTATAATTATATTCATGTCGAAGTGTTAAACTCGTAAGTTATATAGGCTCAGGAAAATGGAAGGTTATCAGGTTTGATCCAATGACAGAGAAGACTAATGACAGAAGATTGAATACATACCAACAGTTACACCAGTAATCAGATAACCTTTTTCAATGAAGGTAATTACTACATGTCCCTCCAGGGAGGTTCCTTGATGCCACTGAGTGGCTCTTGATCCAAGGAATTGGACTTGACCTCTCCCTCAGAGCGAACCTCATTTCCCAGGCGAGGTAAGACTCCTATGGGTTTAGCACCTGCCCATGAATGTAATAATAATAATAATTTGCCCTTGATACATAGTCACATTCTCTCTGAATGATCGAGTGTAGTCATAGAGAAGCGATAAACATGAGAACGAGAGCTAATCAACCTATATCTGAAGAAGGTAATACCTCTAATTTCTTGGATCAAGATTATTATTATAATCATGGGGAGCGCTAAACCCGTAGGATTATACAGCGCCTGGGGGGGATGGAAGGTATTCAGGCTTAATTCAGGGAACTGGAGCACAGATCCAATTCCCTAGAGCAAGAGCCCCTCACCAACATCAAGGAACCTCCCTAGAGGAGTCTTAAATCAAGACACCATCTGAGTTAACTCCCTTAATTAAAGGGCTGACAGCATGAGCTTTAGGCATTTTTTTCTAATTTGCAACGATTTTATTAACAAACCCTCGCAGTTTAGGTTCAACTTTAATGTTACCCACAGTAAACACTTATAAGTAATGTTACCCACAGTAAACACTTATAAGTAATGTTACCCACAGTAAACACTTATAAGTAATGTTACCCACAGTAAACACTTATAAGTAATGTTACCCACAGTAAACACTTATAAGTAATGTTACCCACAGTAAACACTTATAAGGCTACATAACAGTTTTTTTTAATACCACTGAATAAACACATCCAAAATTGCTTAGCGTAAAAAGAAGCTTCGATTATACACGCTATTCATTTTTTATGCGCTTTTTTTAATATATATATTTTTTTTACAAAAAACTTCACTATGTTGTGTAGCTTTATAAGAGGGTTTACTGGATTTTAAAATGAATGAGGCCAAGAAGACGTGCTAGTGTTGACAAGTCTTGCTGTCATAATAACTTTGGTAAACATGGCAATATTTGTATCTGCTCCGTGTTTTGAGCACAGCTCCCCATCATGATGCAAGATATCTCACCTTATTAGCACCTTACCTTATTAGATGGTGGGCGATAAACGGTGGAAGTGGGCGTGTGGGCGGGGAGGAGATGAGTGAGGAGGCTGCTGAGAGATAGTCTGGGACTACGACGAGTGTTGATCTTCAGAGTGTGACCATCACCCACCACTGTCAACCTTCCACCTCCACTCTGTCAACCACATACATTAACTTACAGTAAACACTAATCACCAATACCAGAGTCTCACATTAACACACCACAAAGACAGATTTACAATATGTATAATTTACCAGATATGTTCAGTGGAGCCAGTTAAAAGCATTACCACTTTTTTTGCGTGTGTCACCTAATTCATGTGTGCATAAATAACTCATTATAATTGTGACCAGATTTAAACATGTATCTAGTTCACTGCCGCTGTAACGTGTTCAGTTATCCAAACTCTGTACCCATTATATACCTCTGGAGCCCTCATCACCAGAATGTGTCCGTAGAATTATATGTAGTTAACAAATAAAGATTATTATATTTTATGTGTTATGCACTGATACAATATGCCAGTAAGAAGAGTAGATGACACGTGGATAATAAGCGTTTATTATCCCCGGTACGCTCTAGCAAATGATACATATATAAGCTGAGGCATGGAGCCTAGTGTAACGTTGTTCTAGTATTCCGTACAACGAAAACTAATCAGAGGACAAAGCATTAACTATTTAATATACAAATGTAATAAGGTAATATTGAATTAGTATTGTATATTTATTTACTAAATTCATTGTCTCGTTATCAGGAGTTCAACGGACAATAATAAGACCAATGTGGGTTGTTTGTTTATTTGTTAGAGCAAATCACCTGACAACTGGTCTTTATCATAAGATGACCTGTTCACTGTTTCTGGCACAATGGTGGTGCCGCGTGAAAACTGTTCGTCTAACAAGGCATGTGAAGTGTTACTGGCAATAGTTCCATGGTAGTTCATGACAGCAGCGACTGTTAAACTAAGAAGACGGGCTGGAGTTTTGAGACTCTATGACCGCGGGTTCAATCCCGGCCGGGGGTATGGTTTATTTGCAATCGGGTCATTACGATTTCTTAAGTCAATCATCACAAGACCCGACTCAATTATCACTCGTGTCAATAAGACTGCAATATCTGTACAGATATGAGAATGTAATTATATGCATGGTAACAGTCTTATGTTGAACAAAAGTCACAATATTGTGCCTGAGACGACTGACAAATCCAGAAAATGAAAATGAAACTGGACAGTTTCTCAGTACATACAGGACAGAAACGTCGTTCATCTCTCTTTCACAATTTATGTCTTGTTGTGAGTCATATTTAATTTGTATGAACTTGAAGTGTTAAATATAAAGCGAATAAGGGAAGAAATCAAGGAGACAGTGGTTATGGCATCTTACCTCAGCACAAAACAAAGCCCGTTATCACGACCCCCATCCAGGAAGATATCCACAACATTCCATTAACACCCAGGTAACTATTTACTGCTAGGTGAAGACTGTCAATAAGTACAGAAAGTCTTCTTGATATGTATCGATTTGCCCGAGACAACCATGTCCTTTGGTTGCGAACCGAAGACGCTACCAAAGAGCCACGAATCTCTGCTCTATATCCACTTTGAAGTACTCGCGGAAAATTTATTACAAAATTATAACATCGTTTTGCGGGAGACTAGCATTTGTTTTCTGATTTTTAAAACATTCAGGCTGTTTGCAAAATGAAAATACTATGTTTAAAGAGTTCCACTTACTACAAGATATGAGGAAATAAGAGTTTAACGGAGAGTGGAAGATGTGTATGTAATGTATTTAATGGGTGTAACGACACGTTAGTGTGCAGTGACGGTGAGTGTGATACACACCAAGATGGAAGAACACCCAACACTACTGGTTAGATTAGGTAAAATTCGTCAGGTAACATGACAAGTGCTTCCTGATTAAGATCCTAGTCATGTGATGACCCGCCACTGTAGTTTATGGTCATCTGGTAGAGACCTTCC